TGTAAAAAAATAATCTTTAATTTAGTAAGAAAAAATTTGAAAATTTAAGAAAATTATGGAAATATGGAAAATTATGGATTATGGGGGTATTTTGTTAAACAAAAAATTAATAAAATTTTTTTTTATCTATAACTTTAAAGTACTCTTGAAACCGTAAAACTTTTGTTTAATAAATTTTTTTTATCTTTTATACTTCCGACGATATTCGCCTTGAAAGAAAAATATTGTTTTTTTTTAAGTAGTCATCCCTTAAACATGAGTTAGAGCACGTATAAAAAAATACGTGTCTCTTAGATTTTCGTGTTTTACAACATATCTTATGGAGAATCAAATCGATTTCGAACAGTTGTAAATCTTCCCTTATAAGTTCAAAAAAGTTGTAACGCAAAAATAATTGAGCTATGTTCTTTTATTTCTCTTTGATTAGAAGTAAAATGAATGATCGATGTGAACACTCGCAAACCAAGTCGAACACAGCTCGAATATTACGCTGATTACGGCGCGCGACATCGTCCAAGCGAGATTAGATTATCCGACACTTACCCAATGTTGTCTCATTGTAATGTAAAATGTTTATATTTTATTATATCTGATAAATGATGATGTTTTTATTATATCTATATAATTTCGTGCACTGGTTTAACTGGTTGTAATTAAAATAGAGAATGAATAACCAATTGAAGAAGTGGTGTAGCGAGTAACGTAGAAGATTCATAATCTAGAGATCCCAAGTTCAAGTCCTACTAAGATGCGTTATTTTTTAGTATCAATTTGAAGTAATTAATATCAGATGTATTTATTATAAATGTCTTAGGAATAAAATTTGTAACCCTTAAATGAATTTTTTTTTTTTCGAATATTAAACTAGTGTCAGCTCAGATCTAATCCATTTCAATCCCTTCAATCTATTTTCATGGATTTAAAGTATGCATTAAAAAAATTTTAATCCATTTTAATCCATTCTCGTTACTGTTTAAGTGAGACTTAAAACTCTGTCTGTCTCATTTTAAAAGCCGAAAAAGAGACAAAGACAAAGAGAGTTTTAAGCCTTACTTAAAATCAAAATAATTTTGACAATCGGGCCTATGAGATAACATTGGGTAAGTGTCGGATATTCTATTAGATAAAACGAAAGAACTGGGGCTGCAAATAAACGTTGAAAAAACTAAATATATGGTCACTGATAGAATTCAGAATATTCATAATAACGGAAACCTGGTCGTCTGTGATAAAATTTTTGAACGGGTTAGCAATTTTAAGTATTTAGGATCGATTTTAAACCAAACTAATGAAATAAGAGAAGAGCTCAAGAGAAGAATTAATTTGGGGAATGCGTGCTTCTATTCGGTTAAGAAACTACTCGGTTCGCGGATATTGTCTAGGCGCTTAAAAATTAGAATTTACAGAACGATTATTTTACCGGTAGTCCTTTATGGCAGCGAAGCGTGGTCACTTACGTTACAAGACGAGAAAAGATTTAGGGCTTTCGAAAATAAAGTACTTCGAAAAATCATCGGGGCAAAACGCGATGAGGAAACGGGCGAATGGAGAAAATTACACAACGCAGAATTACATCAATTATATAATAGTCCGGATATTATTAATGTCATAAAATCGCGTCGATTAAGATGGGCAGGTCACGCGGCGCGTATGGATGAGAATCGAATTGCATATAAAGTACTAATTGATAAACCGGATGGGAAAAGACCATTGGGTAGACCAAGACGGGAGGATAGTATGAGGATAGATGGGAGGATAATATTAGAATGGACCTTAACGAAATGGGGTACGAGGGTCACAAAATGGAGGGATCTGGCTCAGGGACGGGAACAGTGGCGGGATTTGGTATTTGCGGCAATGAGCTTTCGAGTTCCTGACGCCTAATAATAATAATAATAAGTGTCGGATAATCTAATCTCGCTTGATCGATGTTGCGCGCCGTTATTAGCCTAATATTCGGGCTGTGTTCAACTTGGTGAATGTTCACATCGATCATTTATTTTACTTCTAATCAAAGAGAAACAGAAGAATATAAGTCAATTATTTTTACGTTACAATTTTTTTAAACTTAGTTGTATTAAAACGAAAAATTTCCTACTTATAATTTTGAATAATTTAAGTAGCATTTTTTATGGTCCATTTTTAAATAAAAACTGTTTTTATTCAATTAGATTGAAAAAATTGCATTTCATATTCACAGAATGAATTGAGCAGTATTCACGTTGTACAGAAATTGCTGATATTATTTTTGAATTTAACTAAATTAAAAAAACTGTACTTTCTATTCACAATTCTGATTTGAATAGTATTAACGATTCACAGAAAATGTTATTATTTTTAGATTAAAAGATATAGAGATATGCCCTATGCAATTCTCATAAATGAATAAAAATGCATTCAAGATTGAAAAGGATTCATTTTAACATTCATGAATCTGTATTTCTGAAAATCTGAATCCATTTTAATCCATTTCAATCCATTCTCGTTTGCTGGGAATATATTAATGAGCATTTTTTAAATTTTTTATAAGATTTATATTAACAAAAGATATTTTTGTCAAGTTAAATGTAAAGTTGTAAAAAATGTTAATGATTTTAATGATATTTTGCTATAGATTACAGAAAAATGGCAGATCGTTTAGATATAGTAATATTTGGTGCCACTGGATATACTGGAAAATATGTAGTGAAAAATGCATCCCAAATGTGTAAGGATCGGAAAATGAAGTTTGGTATTGCTGGTCGTAGGAAAGAAGCTTTAGATGCAGTTGTTAAGGAATTTGCCTCAAATATTGGTACGTTTAAAACTCAGAACTAATTATTCCAATTATAATAGTAAACTACTTTACTTATTATTAGCAAATATTATATTATATTACATGTATCTTATCAGAGGACGTGCCTATTATTCTGGCTGACATAAAAGATGAAGAATCTCTCAAGAAAATGACAGAACGAGCAAAGATACTTATCAATTGTTGTGGCCCATACAGATTTTATGGAGAACCAGTTATCAAAACATGCATTGCTACTCGTACTCATTATGTTGATGTTACTGGTGAAGAACAGGTAATTTAACAACGTTTGTGCACTGTCGTGAAGTTAGCCCTCCGACATTAAAAAAAATAAAGTTTCTTTAGTTTATTCGTTTTGCCCATATTTGCACATTTTGAATTTTTGTTTGCACACTTCTAGTTAAAAAGTTATTTAAAAAACAATTTTAAAGGGACTAACTTTACATTAGCACCCCAACTTCGAGCAAATTGGATCGAGAAGGTCTCAAATCGATAGATTTTCGTTTGCATATTTTGAAACAATTCGATTTTTCGTTTGCACACTGAAAGAAACTTAATTTTTTTTAAATGTTGGGAGCTAACTTCACGACGGTCGTTTGTGCAACAGTACAATAATCAATTAATGATTTCTCTTTTTAATATCTTTAATATTTTTCAGTTTATGATGGAAATGCAATTAAAATATAACGAAGCAGCAAAAGAAGCTGGCGTCTACATAGTAAACGCTTGTGGTTTTGACTGTATTCCTAGTGAATTGGGAATCATTTTCACGCAACAGAAATTTGAAGGAGAAATAAATGCTATTGAAATATTCATGAACATGTGGAGAAGCACTACTGACAAGAAAGGTCCGGTACTTAATTATGCAACTTGGGAATCTGTAGTACACAGTCTGGCTCACAAAGAAGAAGTACAGGCATTACGCACAAAATTATATCCTGTCAAGTTACCTGAATTCACACCGAAACTAAAATCAAGGTATACACACGATTTTATATCTTGTATAATATATTTTGCATATATACATAAATCATATTTTGTCAAATATAAGTAAATTTTCTATGCATTAAATGTTTAGAAAATATATAAGTTAGTGCAGTATTGATAACAGAGAGAAATAGTAATTATATTAATGGTAAACAGGGTTAATAATTTCACTTATTTTGTAGAAGTGTATTGCACCGAAGCAATGTTTCTGAAGGATGGCCCATACCATTTCCGAGTGCCGATCGTTCAGTAGCTCTTCGTACACAACGATTCTTATATGACAACTATAAAGAGAGGCCTGCACAAGTTAAAGTTTATGTTAAATTGAAGTCAGTATGATACCAATAGAAATTAATATATTGACAAATAATTTTTGTTAAAGTCTATATGCTTGTTATTAGGTCTTTCTTCGAATTCCTGGTTATGGCCATTGTTGGTACGCTTTTGTTAGTTTTGTCTCGCACAGCATGCGGCCGTAATTTACTTCTAAAAGTATGTGCCAAGTACTTTCGTGATTGTCAAAATTATTTAGATAATACAATAAATTGCGATATTTGCAGTATCCGGCTCTATTTTCATACGGTTTCATAAGTCACGAGAATCCGAATCCGGAAATGCAGAAATCAACACATTTTTCTCTTACATTCGAAGCTAGTGGATGGACTGAAAAATTGTCTGAACCTACCGATGAACACACAGATCCACCTAATAAGAAAATAATCACCAAAGTCTCTGGTGATTCTCCCGCATATGAGATGACTAGCATAACAGCGATATTATCGGCAACAACAATCCTTAACGAAACTGACAAAATACCTAACAAGTTAGTAAATTAATAAATTATTAATTACTCACTGTAATTGTTATGTCTGATAGTTATTTTTTTAAATTTAAATTTATAGTATAAGATAATAAACCCTCAACTACATATCTCGTTTTAGAATCTTATTTTACATGTCTGGGTCCAAGTCACTTACGGAATTTTTGACTGATTCTATAATTATCACAAATCTCAATGGAAAATATTTTTTCTTCTAATAAAATGTCAGAATGTATAGAATTGAAATATCAAAACATAAAAAGATTTTGATAATGATTAAAAAAGTTATGCCAAAAAATATGAAAGAATAATTTGTGAAGAGTGCAATAATGAAAATTTTTTTCCAAAAAAATCTTTGTGATAAAAAAGAGGTACAAATAAAAACAAGTAATGTTTTGAAAAAGAGGAAAATGTGAATTTTAAGAAAAATAAATACGTTATGATTCATTCCAAAAAGTATAATTATTTGTACGAGTGAAATGGGAGCATTTTTATACATGCTCGGAATAATGATATCGAAGATATGTCGGATATTTTCTTTTTTAAAAATGCAATGAAAATATTTTATTTCAAATATACATATAATGATTACCGATTTTATTTACCAACATTATTTACTCATGATTTTATAACTCCGAAAAAAATAGAGCGATCGTTTCGCCAACACGCCTCTCGTAAAAATGCTTTTTTTTTGGTGAATATACATTTTAATTATAAGAAGATAATAAATAAACTTGAATACAGCATTAAACTTACTAAACACGAATTTTCATTTTCGACAAAAATCTGTCGAATTTGACGGGTCCAAGTCATCCAAGCCAAACTTTTGCATCACAATTAGCATCAAGGCAACTACGAAACAATTGCATCACGACGATCGATAGAGAAAGATTTCAAATCTTTTACTTCAACTCTGCAATATTAACCATACAAAAATAGCGGCCAACTAAAATTTTCACCCGAGTCCAAATGACCCACTCATGTAGTTGAGGGTTAGTGACAATTGAAAGACAATTATACACTACGCACAACAATTAGGCGATTATTTTAAAACCTGTAAATTTTAGTTTTAAGTTTAAAACTTGTAATTTCGATATTTAAGAAACGATATTTCAGATTGCAGGACAATTTTTTTGGATGCGTTTTAAAGGGTGAAACTTTAATATCAATGAAACAATAGTTCATATGTTTATTGTCCTATCGAATGGTCTTTTTCAGAAGCAGGTCGTGTTAAAATTCTGAAAATTTCATGACTAACTTTTCATGGGCAAAGTACAAACAGGTCGAAAAATCTTATTACATACATTTTAAAGATTGAAATTTTTTTTTTTTTAAATAAAATCTCGACGATTACTCTAACATGCCTATAAGTTATCAGATCTTATTTTAAAGGAAAAGTTTCACTTTAAAATGCATGTAATGAGATTTTTCGGCCAGTTCATACTTTGCCCGTGAAAAGTGGCAAAGTTGTGAAATTTTCAGAATTTTAACATGATCTTGTTTCTGATCTTCGCGAAAAAGACCATTCGATAGGATGGCAAATATCATAAACTGTTTCAAAGTAGAAGTTTGACCTTTTAAAACGCACTCAGAAAAATTGTCCTGCGACCTCTAGAAGCGGAGGTATCGTTTCTTAAATGTCGATAAAATTTGCAGGTTTTAAAATAATTGCCTAATTGTTGTGCGTAGTTACATGTTGTTACATGTTGAATTTCGGTTTTTTATTTTTATGTATTTATATTTTTACAGTGGAGGAGTACTTACTCCCGGTGCTGCGTTCGGTAAAACATCTCTGATCGAGCAACTGATAAAACATAATATTAAATTCGAGGTGATATCGCCTATCGAGAAATAAAGATAAGAAAATTCTATATAATTTAGACCAAGAGGTTACTGCAGTGATTTTGTTACCCAACAAGTATGGGAAGTGAACCTTTTATTTCATGTAAAACAAACAATATATACATATATATATATATATATATATATATTTAAGCCCTATTGCGGTCACTTGAAGGGGAGGCTTTTCAAAATGTTGCAATTTTAATTTTTTTGAAAGCATCAAGGTTGAATGTTCTTGCAATCGATAGTTAATACCCTTATTCCAAGATAGGCGGACTCCTATATATATTTCTTAGAAGGGTCGCAAAGGATCGCCATACTGGGTCAAAGTGATAAATTTTTTCTGAAAAAAAAATCGATAGCGACAAGATTGAATTTTTGTCTACTACTTAATTTTGATATCAATTGTCGAGAAATATGATTCTCATATCTTTTGAATGATCACAAAGACATCCATATCTACCCGAATACGTACAATTTTCTTATTCCATGTAAAATGGTTCATATTTGGATAGGTATGGCTCTGCTTTTGTGACCATCGAAAAAGTATGGATTCGAATCATATTTCTCGACAATTAATATCAAAATTAAGTAATAGACAAAAATTCAACTTTGTCACTATCGATTTTTTTTTTTTCAGAAAAAATTAACCACTTTGACCTAATATGGTAATCCCTTGCACCCTTCTGAGAGATATATATGGGAGTCCACCTATTTTGAAATAAAGATATTAACTATTGATTGCAACAACGTTCAATCTTGACGCTTTTAATAAAAAAATTAAAATCGGCAACATTTTAGAAAGCCCACCTCCCCTTCAAGCGACCGCGATCGGGCTTAAATATATTGTTTTTATGTTTTACAACGAAATAAAAGGTTATCGACTTTCCATACTTGTCACTATGGGTAACAAAATCACTATAGTGGCCTCTTGGTCGAATTCTTTTATATACAATATTTTAACATATTTTGTAATTACTTGATTTTGATTTTAACACTTGTTGAGGTTTCGGGTAAACTTTATTCTATACTTATATTTCACAATATTTCACAAGAAAGTATAAAACATAACGGTATAAATATTATAGTTACTAAAGTTTAATAAATATTCTTTGTTACATTAATTGCTATATGTTAAAAAAAAAAAGATTTAAAATTTATATAAAACTATGCAAAATACAATATAATGTTTGTTAAATTGTATACTATTTAAGAGTTTTAATATCATGTAATTTAATATAAGTTAATATTGATACTCTTTTGTAATAAAGTAGCTTAATATGATTTTTTATTTTTGCTATTATCAAAATAAATTGTTCATATCTTTGTAATATAAGGAATAATAAAATATTCAATAGTATGTTATCTTGTAGTTAAAAATTTTTCATTTTTTCCCAATATTTATACTTTTTGAAAAAGTCACAAACTCGGATAACATGTACAATCTTTTTTTCAATTTTAGAATATTATAATTCATTATACATTTTTTACAATTCTTTTAATTATTCCTCTAATTTATATATTCATATCTGTTCCTGATATTACATTTATGACACCATATTCAGGAGGTACATATATATTAGATAGTAAACTTAATTAATTTCTGCCGTTCATGTTAGGGTGTCGGATCTAACGCTGGTGAGTTTCCGATGGTGAAGTCGCCCGTTTTTTACCTCTGATATTGCTGAAAGTGATTCAATCCTCACAGGTTAAATTTCTCGACACCAAAGAGATTTTTCAATCGATTGAAAATGAACCGCGATAAGCTGTTTTTCTGACATATATTTCTTTATTACTTTGATAAGAACAAGAAAACTGCAGCTGAAGCGCATTGCTTATTATTCAAAGTGTATGGTGATGAAACTCCATCGGAAGAACATGTAGAGTTTGGTTTGAACACTTCCGAAACGGTGATTTTGACGTGAGAGACAAAGAACGTCCCTTGCTCTGCATTTGATGGAATTAGGGGGGTGTGCTGTATTATGAGTTCTTGCTTCCAAATGAAATCGTTACAGTTGATCGCTATCAACATTAATTTTAATTGAATGACGAGTTGATGAAAAAAAGACCATCCGTGACCAACAATCAATGCAAAGTCATTTTTCATGATAAAGCTCGACTGCATGTTGCGAAAAGCATGAAGTAGACACTTCTAGCAGATTTTTCTTACAGAATGTTCAACGAATTTTATTTTGAGCACTGTTCCGAAATTAAACTGTACCTGTTATCTCGTATTTCAGTAATAGACACGCTATAAAGTAATACATGCTATAATATTTACTACGCAGATTTATGGCAATTCTGTACTGTCTGTTGAACACTGCGACGAATTAATAATAAGTCTTTATTCTCAATACCGAATAACATGCTCTTAGCAAGTTACTACGCTGACAATTCGAGGATGAGTCCCACTTCGTTCTTGAGTACTTCCTATATCGCTTACTATTGTATAATGTTGATGACTGTCAAAGATCTCGGACATCCTTGTAACTAGATGTCATTGCGCTTTTACAGTAGCGACACTAATTATACCCCAAAAGCTCGAAGATAATATTACCAATTTTCTAGCTATGCATCTACAGTGGTTTCACCATGTTTCGGCGTAATAATAAAATAGCGTAAAAAGCATAAAGTAACTAAGCGGAAACTGATGTTCAAGCGAAACAATATGATTCGTCAGCGCAAGTTACGCCGCATGTGACACCTTAAGGAGACTACTTACGTTAATTAGAATACCTATAATAAGAGTACGGACAACAGAGTGTGAATGAGGCAAAACCGGAAACACATTGAAACGCAAGCGCATTTTGAAATATGAAGTGTAAAATTGAAATTGTATGTATATATATAACAATGGATGCGTTCGTAGAATGCATCTGTTTTATGAATGTCTGCTGAAATAAGACAATTCCTCTAGATCTTAAAATATAATTTAATTTATCAGTGTAAAGAAAACTTCCAGCAATTGCAAAGTAAATATTCTGAATACAGAGGGAAAGAGCCAATGATTTTATAAAGAATAAATTAAAGAAGAATGACACCAGAGATAAATACAAATAGAATAATGTGAAATTTGTTTAAAAATAAATCGTATGAAAATGCATGAGTTTAAAAATAAGATTTCAAGAGTATTAATTACCTTTTTAAGAGTATTTAATTGTTTGTTAGGTATATAAGGTAACTGTCCCAATTACTGTGCCTGTCTATTAGTATGCTTTTGTATTTCAATAAGTCATACAGAAAACTAGCACAAATAAAATAACAACGGTATAAAGACTCTTTATGTATAAACAAAATAAACAAAATAAATGG